CACTTCCTCAGGGGATCACTGAAAGGTAATTATCGGTGCACTTCCTCAGGGGATCATTGAAGGTAATTATTGGTGCATTTCCTCAGGGGATCATTGAAGGTAATTATTGGTGCACTTCGATAATTAAGGAAATTAAGGTGCACTTCCTCAGGGAGTCATTGAAGGTAATTATCAGTGCACTTTCGATAATTAAGGTAATTAACGTGCACTTCCTCAGGGGATCATTGAAGGTAATTAACGGTGCACTTCCTCAGGGGCTCATTGAAGGTCATTATCGGTGCACTTCCTCAGGGGATCATTGAAGGTCATTATCGGTGCACTTCTCAGGGGATCATTGAAGGTAATTATTGGTGCACTTCCCCAGGGGATCATTGAAGGTAATTATCGGTGCACTTCCGATAATTAAGGTGCACTTCCGATAATTAAGGTGCACTTCCTCAGGGGATCATTGAAGGTAATTATCGGTGCACTTCGATAATTTAAGGTAATTAACGTGCACTTCCTCAGGGGATCAATGAAGGTAATTATCGGTGCACTTCCGATATTTAAGGTAATCAAGGTGTACTTCCTCAGGGGCTCATTGAAGGTAATTATCGGTGCACTTCCTCAGGGAATCATTGAAGGTGATTATCATTGCCCTTCCTCAGGGTATCATAGAAGGTAATTATTGGTGCACTTCCAATAATGAAGGTAATTAAGGTGCACTTCCTCAGGGGATCCCTGTATTACATAGAACACAATGTGGGGGAGGGTTACCAAAACTTGAGCAGCTGTGCATGGCAACCAATCAGCTTCTTTGATTTTCAAAGCTTAACAAGCTGAAGATAGAATCTGATTGGTTGCCACGAACAGCTGCTCCAAATTCTGTCTACTCCACTTCCGATACATCCCCCACCCCCAATATTTTCTATGTACCCTGTTCACAGCATACATATGCAGCAAACGCAGCTCGAGAGGGTGAACTAATCCCTTAAAATATTATTTACAAAGCTGAGGACAACATTTGGTATGGCCGTGTACTGATACGCAAGCGGTCTCTCTGTAAAGGATATTGATACTTTTATTATAATGATACATTTATATACTTTCAATAATTACCTTCAGTGTTTCCCTGAGGAAGTGCACTATTGGTCTATGAAACGCGTTGAGAATTTTTTTTTTAATTACAAAATTTTGAGTCATATTATATGTTGATCCGTGTTGTGATTTATTAGATACACGCATAGTGGGAGTCAATGAACAAAAATCAGGATAATCAATCCTTTGTATGTTTATATGTGAAAGTTCTGCTTTGTCCGGTTTACCTGTACAGGTGAGATCCTTCAGGCTGGAATTATTTTCTATGAATGACCAAATGACATGACTCCTTGATTGTCCTGAGTGCCTGTCTGCTGTGTGACTAAGTACATCCTGGCATTTATGATATGCAGCTGGCTAGTCCGACGCCCGCCGCCCCGATCCCTAGGGGCTAGCAAGGTGTTTATCTCCTCAGTCCGCTGAATTGCAGCCGGGGCGCTCACAAAGTGAAGCTCCACCTCCTGTAGCGTAGAATGGTTGCACCACACGAATTCTTCCCCAGATGCACTATGAAAACCTGCTGAATACAGCTGCAGAAACCAACCTGGCAGTGAGAATCATGCAGGACGCTAGCCTCCTCTCTGGCCTGGCTGTCATACCGTTCCAGTGTTTTCAGTATGCTAGCCTGCAAGTTTTGACAGCATTTGCCATGATAGCCGGGTGACTAGCATTTTCGGGGAGTTTCTGTGGAGGGGAAGCTTCCGGCTGTCCTGAATATTGTGCAGTTTTGACTGACCTAAAGAAGAACTCTACACAAAAAATGGTCTGTTTTCCCTGAAACTTGTCAAATGTTTAATAGAAGATGATTACAATGATGTTGATTCCTTATTTACACCCCATTCCCTTCACCCCCCTGCATACCCTCTGAAATTTCAAATCAGGTTCACAGCGAGTGAGGAGGGAGCAGGCGAACAGCTGGAGTGAGCTTCACAAACACCTCGGAGGTGGGGCTGTGATGGAAAAACTAACTCTGCCGGAGGTGGGGCTGTGACACCAAAACTAACTCTGCCGGAGATGGAGCTGTGACACCAAAACTAACTCTGCCGGAGGTGGGCTGTGACACCAAAACTAACCCTGCCGGAGGTGGGGCTGTGACACCAAAACTAGCTCTGCCGGAGGTGGGGCTGTGACACCAAAACTAACCCTGCCGGAGGTGGGGCTGTGACACCAAAACTAACCCTGCCGGAGGTGGGGCTGTGACACCAAAACTAACTCTGCCGGAGGTGGGGCTGTGACACCAAAACTAGCTCTGCCGGAGGTGGGGCTGTGACACCAAAACTAACTCTGCCGGAGGTGGGGCTGTGACACCAAAACTAGCTCTGCCGGAGGTGGGGCTGTGACACCAAAACTAGCTCTGCCGGAGGTGGGGCTGTGACACCAAAACTAACTCTGCCGGAGGTGGGGCTGTGACACCAAAACTAACCCTGCCGGAGGTGGTGCTGTGACACCAAAAACTAACTCTGCCGGAGGTGGGGCTGTGACACCAAAACTAACTCTGCCGGAGTGTGGGGCTGTGACACCAAAACTAACTCTGCCGGAGGTGGGGCTGTGACACAAAAAATTTGCACTGTCAGAGGTGGGGCTGGGATGCAAAAAATTGGTCCCTTTTGAAGGTGGGGATGTGATGTAAAAATTAGCTCTGCCAGATGGGGGGCCATGACTTCAAAACTAGCTCTGCCGGAGGTGGGGCTGTGACACCAAAACTAGCTTTGCCGGAGGTGGGGCTGTGACACAACAAATTGGTCCTCTCTGCTGTGATGTACAAATTAGCTCTGCCAGAGGGGGGGGGCCATGACACCAAATTAGCTCTGCCGAAGGTTTGTGACACCAAACTCGCTTGGCCGGAGGTGGGGCTGTGACACCAAAACTAGCTTGGCCGGAGGTGGGGCTGCAACACAAAACGAACTCTGCTGGAGGTGGGGTGCGACACCAAAATGAACTCTGCAAAGGTGGGCTGTGATGTAAAAACTAGCTCTGCCGGAGGGGGGGCTGTGACACCAAAAACTGGTTCTGCTAGAGGATGGTGTGGGACGCAAAAATGAGGAAATGGCCGAGCAGCTGCATCCAAGCCTTCCATCACCAAGTGCAATGCAAAGCGTCGGATGCTGAGGTGTAAAGCACGCTGCCACTGGGCTCTAAAGCAGGGAGGCGTGTTCTCTGGAGTGACCAATCACGCTTCTCTGCCTGGCAATCCGATGGATGTGTCTGGGTTTGGCGGTGGCCAGGAGAACGGTACTTGCCTGATTCCATTGTGTCAAGTGTACAGTTTGGTGGAGGGGGGATTATGGTGTGGGGTTTGTTTTTCAGGGGTTGGGCTTGGCCCCCTAGTTCCAGTGAAGAGAAGGAAACAATTTCATGCTCCCAACTTTGTGAGAAGAGTTTGGGGATGGCCCCTTCCTGTTCCAACATGACTACCCACCAGTGCACAAAGCAAGGTCCATAAAGACATGGAGGAGCCAGTTTGGGGTGGAGGAACTTGACTGTCCTGCACAGAGTCCTGACCTCAACCCCATAGAAAACCTTTGGGATGAATTAGAGCGGAGACTGCGAGCCAGGCCTCCTCCCCCGACATCAGTGCCTGACCTGACAAATGTGCTTCTGGAAGAATGGTCCAACCTTCCCATAGACACCCTCCTAAACCTTGTGGACGGCCTTCCCAGAAGAGTTGAAGCTGTTATAGCTGCAAAGGGCGGGGCCAACTCAATATTGAACCCTACGGACTAAGACTGGGAGGCCATTAAAGGTCATGTGCGTGGAAAGGGCGGGGCCAACTCAATATTGAACCCTACGGACTGAGACTGGGAGGCCATTAAAGGTCATGTGCGTGGAAAGGGCGGGGCCAACTCAATATTGAACCCTACGGACTAAGACTGGGAGGCCATTAAAGGTCATGTGCGTGGAAAGGGCGGGCCAACTCAATATTGAACCCTACTGACTAAGACTGGGAGGCCATTAAAGGTCATGTGCGTGGAAAGGGCGGGGCCAACTTTATACTGAACCCTACTGACTAAGACTGGGAGGCCATTAAAGGTCATGTGCGTGGAAAGGGCGGGGCCAACTTTATACTGAACCCTACGGACTAAGACTGGGAGGCCATTAAAGGTCATGTGTGTGGAAAGGCCGGCGGCCCAATACTTTTGGCAATGTAGTGTATCTATAGCCGGTTGCTACATAGAGGCCTTTGTGTGTGCCCGGTGTTCTCCTTTAAGAGGTAAAAATATACAATTCATTTCATATACAACACAAATCCTTTAAAAAGTAAAAATCCAAAACATAAATCGGTGTTTTCTAGTCAGAAAAGAACTGAAAGAAAAAAAGAAACCGAACTACTTAAATACAATAAATAATAAATAAACGTGAATAAAGCGGGCTGCGGCTTGATGGGCGGTACCGCGGCGTCCGTGAAAGGTTTACCGTACATCCGCTGGTTCAGATCCCTATTTCTTTTAAAGGGCGCCTCAGTCTCTCAATGTACATGGAAGTCGCCCGCGGGCCCTACGCCCGACACGGGGCAGACACGTGAGGTTATGGGGACATATACATGGAAGGTCCTTCTCCCCAAAACTGACGGTTTTCTATATATAACCACGAAGTCTATAAATCAGATTTTGGGGTCTGTCCGCGTTGTGTTGGGTTTTATTTTCGTTTTTTTATACAATTTGCGGGTTTTTTTTTGGGGGTTTTTTTTGGCCTTCTTCTAGAACAGGTTTGTTTTGAGGGCGTTCGGCTTCCGGTGGAAGGTGGAAAGGACTCCGGCGAAGGGTCCGGGGACGGCGTCGGCCGGCTGCCAGGCTTTGAGGAGGTCGGCTGTGTTGGCGCTGCTGCTGGTCGGGATGCCGGGCCACACGGGGGCCTTCAGGCTCTGGGCCGCGTGGCTCGGCACCAGGTTGGCCACCGTGCTGGGGCTGGGGCTGAGGCTGGGGCTGTTGAGGCTGGCGGCGGTGGGCAGGGAGGCCGTGCTGTCGGGCGTCGGGCTGCAGTTGGACTCTTTGGACTCGTCGTCCTCGGGAGGAGGACCTGGGGTCTGACTTTTTACCACTCGAGCCGCTGCTGGAGTTGCTCCCCGACTTGGAGTTGGCCGCCCGCTCCTGCTTGCGAAATTTGGCTCGCCGGTTTTGAAACCAGACCTGAAAAAAAAAGATTGAAATTGCAGATTTTTACTGAGAGGCATCTTAGACCCTAACATTTATTTTTCTGGCAAAGTGGGTTTGGGTCGCCAAAAATCTGTTTTTGGTTTTGATTTGAGATATGTTGGAAGGTGCAATGGTGGGTTTGCAGCACCTTCTAGATACGTTGGAAGGTGCAATGGTGGGTTTGCAGCACCTTCTAGATACGTTGGAAGGTGCAATGTGGGTTTGCAGCACCTTCTAGATACGTTGGAAGGTGCAATGCTGGGTTTGCAGCCCCTTCTAGATACGTTGGAAGGTGCAATGGTGGGTTTCCAGCACCTTCTAGATACATTGGAAGGTGCAATGCTGGGTTTGCAGCACCTTTGAGATACATTGGAAGGTGCAATGCTGGGTTTCCAGTACCTTCTAGATACGTTGGAAGGTGCAATGCTGGGTTTGCAGCACCTTCTAGATACGTTGGAAGGTGCAATGCTGGGTTTGCAGTACCTTTGAGATACGTTGGAAGGTGAAATGGTGGGTTTGCAGCACTTTCTAGATACATTGGAAGGTGCAGGTGGGTTTGCAGTACCTTTGAGATACGTTCGAAACAAAGGTGCTGCAAACCCACCATTGCACCTTCCAACGTATCTCGAAGGTGCTGCAAACCCACCATTGCACCTTCCAACGTATCTCGAAGGTGCTGCAAACCCACCATTGCACCTTCCAACGTATCTCGAAGGTGCTGCAAACCCACCATTGCACCTTCCAACGTATCTCGAAGGTGCTTCAAACCCACCATTGCACCTTCCAACGTATCTCACAGGTGCTGCAAACCCACCATTGCACCTTCCAAGAGGGCTGACAATACTGTAAGACCACTGCTGAAATTCCAGCAATGTGGTCCCCTCCCCCATTGCTTCTGGGGACTGACCTCCTGTCCTGGTCCTGGAGGAGGAAGTGACATGGCAAGAGGCCCCAGTTGCCACTGTACTGTGGGAGAACGGGACCTAATGAGGAGATGTTCCCTCGCCCTTACTCTTTTTTACCAGAAGATGTCCTCAGCCTCCTAGGTTGACTGACGCCCAGCATCACCATAGAAGTGCAGGGTGTCATAGACCCCTCCCCTGAGGGGGCAACGCTACAGAAGTCTGTATTCAAAGCGTAATGGTCATGTGACTTCCACTCTCTGCATTACGGAGGACTGCCCATGGCCAGTAGAAGGTCCCAGGAGGATCCAGTGGGTCATGTGACCAGAGCAAAAAAAAAAAAAAAAAAAAGGAGATCTGGTCTCCACTCTTCCACTCTACTGTACAAATATGAGAACATTTGTTTGTGAATGCCCAATTTTCAACTACAGCTGCCCCCCTGCTGTACCTCTTCTTCACCCCAAGATGTCCTCAGTCTTCTGGGTTGAATGATGCCCAGTATCGCTGAGGACATACTATGAGTGCAGAGTGTCGCAGACCCCGCCCCCGAGGAGGCATCACTACAACAGCCTGCATTCAAAGTGTATTGGTGCAGAGAATGGTGCTGATGTCATTCATTCTTTCATTATATGAAGAAAGAGGAGTCTACAAAGTCACATGACTTTGGAAAAAAAAATCAAGTAAAATTAAAAAAAAAAAAACAAACCCATAAAATGAATTTCAATAAAAAATTAATTAAATATTGTGGTTTTTCTTTTTTATTTGGGAAATTTTGCAAAAATATTTATCAACGGCCAACTTCACGTAAATCTAATAATTGCGCTTTGTGTCGCCGTTCCTATTTCCACTCCGGTGGTAAGATCCCCCCCCCCCCCCCAACTCTGTAGCCATCACAGAGGCAAAGGCTGGTGTCATCCTCCCCCCAACCTTGTGGGAGGGGCAACCACACAAACCACTTCGAGGAAACATCCCCTAGATTCTCCTTTGGTATTTACTGAACGTTGGTTCCATGTCCTGATCCTCAGTATTATCACTATCCTGAAACAGGAAGAGCAGGTGTTCTGACAGCCCTTTCATTTCACTTGCTGCATGCTTGCAGTGGATCAGTGAAATTATGGCAGCCAGAGACAGCCAGGGAAACAGCATTCTCAGAAAGAGATCAGCAATGGCAGCCTTTGTGTTTTTCCCATGACACGGGGGGTTCAGGTTCTAGGGCTGCCATTCTCTGCCCCCCCCCCCCCCCTTCCTTACTACCTTTTGAGTTGCTGACCCTTAGGTTTGGGTTCCAGGGCCATCATCCTGACCCCGCTCCTGACTACTTGGTGAGTTGCTGATCCCCCTAATAAAAACATAGAAAAGTGACGGCAGAAACAGACCGAGTGGTCCATCAAGTCTGCCTGTTTTTTTTTTTGGGGGGGGGGGGGGGTTGGGGGGAGGAGGAGTGTTTGGCTTTTTTTTGGTGAGTTGCTGACCGTTGGGCTTGGGTTTCAGGGCCATCATCCTGACCCCCCTTTTTACTACTTGGTGATTTGCTTACCCTTGGGTTCAGGTTCCAAGGCCATCATCCTGACCCCCCTCCTTACTACTTGGTGAGTTGCTGACCCTTAGGTTTGGGTTCCAGGGCCATCATCCTGACCCCCCTCCTTACTACTTGGTGAGTTGCTGACCCTTAGGTTTGGGTTCCAGGGCCATCATCCTGACACCCCCTCCTTACTACTTGGTGAGTTGCTGACCCTTAGGTTTGGGTTACAGGGCCATCATTCTGACCCCCCTCCTTACTACTTGGTGAGTTGCTGACCCTTGGGTTCGGGTTCCAGGGCCATCATTCTGATCCTCCCAATGGAAACATAGGAGAGTGACGGCAGAAAAAGACTGAGAGGTCCATTGAGTCTGCCTGCTTTTTTTTTTGGGGGGGGGGGGTTGTGTGTTTTTTTTTGTTTTTGTTTTTCCTTTTTTTTTGGTGAGTTGCTGACTGTTGGGGTTGGGTTTCAGGGCCATCATCCTGACCCTCCTCCTTACTACTTGGTGAGTTGCTGACCCATGGGTTTGGGTTCCAGGGCCATCATCCTGACCCTCCTCCTTACTACTTGGTGAGTTGCTGACCCTTGGGTTCAGATTCCAAGGCAGTCATCCTCATGCCTCCTTGCTAGTTGGTGAGTTGCTGACCCTTGGGTTTGGGTTCCAGGGCCATCATCCTGACCCCCTCCCTCCTTACTACTTGGTGAGTTGCTGACCCTTGGGTTCGGGTTCCAGGGCTGTCATCCTGACCCCCCTTCTTACTACTTGGTGAGTTGTTGACCCTTGGGTTCAGGTTCCAAGGCCGTCATCCTGACCCCCCTCCTTACTACCTGGTGAGTTCTTGACCTTTGGGTTCAGGTTCCTGGGCTGTCATCTTGTTCCCCCCTGCTGCTGACCCACATGTCCTGAAACGTCACTGCCACTATGCTTGTTCCAAGTCATTGGCTGAGCAAGCCATGAAGGGAGGAGAAGGATGACAGTCCTGGAACCTGCTCTCTCACCAACAAGCCACAATGGCCAACACAATCATGGAAGCCTCCAATGACCTCCATTGAACCTTCTCCTTAAAACCTCCAACCTGGACTTGCCCACCTTGAAAATATCCGAGTCACCGGTACATCCAGCAAGTATAATTCTGAAACAAAAACGATTCTGCTCCACTCAAAACTGAAAAGGTTCGGTGGGCTGGTTACCTGCACCCGGGCCTCTGTCAGGTCTATCTTGAGGGCCAGTTCTTCTCGGGTGTAGATATCGGGGTAGTGGGTTTCCGCGAAGACTCTCTCCAGCTCTTTCAGCTGTGAACTGGTGAAGGTGGTCCGGATCCTCCGCTGCTTCCTCTTCTCGTTGATGCTGGACGGGTCAGAGAAAAACTTGTAGGGGACTGTCAGAGAGAAAGAGAGACACCACCATCAACCCAACGTTCCTAAAACCACCGTCACCCCAACGTTCCTATACCCCCGTCACCACAACGTTCCTACAACCACCGTCAACCCAACGTTCCTACAACCCCCGTCAACCCAACGTTCCTACAACCCCCGTCACCCCAACGTTCCTACAACCCCCGTCACCCCAACGTTCCTACAACCCCGTCACCCCAACGTTCCTACAACCCCCATCACCCCAACGTTCCTACAAACACCGTCAACCCAACGTTCCTATAACCCCAGTCACCACAACGTTCCTACAACCCCGTCACCACAACGTTCCTACAACCACCGTCAACCCAACGTTCCTACAACCACCGTCAACTCAACGTTGCTACAACCACCGTCAACCCCTACGTTCCTACAACCCTCGTCAACCCAACGTTCCTACAACGACTGTCAACCCAACGTTCCTACAATCCCCGTCACCCCAACGTTCCTACAACCCCCGTCACCCCAACGTTCCTACAACCCCCATCACCCCAACGTTCCTACAACCACTGTCACCCCAACGTTCCTACAACCCCCATCACCACAACGTTCCTACAACCACCGTCACCCCAACGTTCCTACAACTACCGTCAACCCAACGTTCCTATAACCCCCGTCACCACAACGTTCCTACAACCACCGTCAACCCAACGTTCCTATAACCCCCGTCACCACAACGTTCCTACAACCCTCGTCAACCCAACATTCCTACAACGACTGTCAACCCAACGTTCCTACAATCCCCATCACCCCAACGTTCCTACAACCCCCGTCACCCCAACGTTCCTACAACCCCCATCACCCCAACGTTCCTACAACCACCGTCACCACAACGTTCCTACAACCACCGTCAACCCAACGTTCCTACAACCCTCGTCACCACAACGTTCCTACAACCACCGTCAACCCAACGTTCCTACAACCCCCATCAATCCAACATTCCTTCAACCCAATGTTCCTACAACCCGCATCAACCCAACATTCCTTCAACCCAACGTTCCTACAACCCCCATCAACATGCAGATAATAGTTCCCGATTCTCACAGATCCCAAAGTCTGACCACTTGTGGTCTGTTCAATCTGGATTTTAAACGGTAAAACACTTGATGATCCTTCCAGAAATCTAGTGTGCTGATAACTTCCTGTGCTCTCTGCCTATGCTGTACTCTCCCAGCTATTATCTATGTGGACTACAGAACACCTCTCCTTATGGAGAGATTGGGGGGGGACACTTCCGTGTCTTAGGGTGACAACGCTGAGTCGCTGCACTGTATCAATGGAGGAGCAGTGTTGTCACCTTAGACTACAAATGCCTTCCCCTCTCCTCATCTCCATTGCTTAGGGAGGAAGAGTTGTATGGTTCATGGAAGTTAGCTGGGAAAGCTGATGACATTGTGCACAGGAAGTGACAAGGACACAGCATTTGGGGCGGGATCAACAGGTACTTTCTGGATCTGCTGAGAACGTCCTCAGCTGGATAAAAAAAACCCCAACAAACGAAAAAAAAAAACTAATGCAGCCCCCCTCATCTAAGGACTGGTAATCTGCAATGTATGACTGCTTTGGGTTTGGATCCAGTTTAGCTGGGTTTATGTGTAACATTTTATTCCATTGTTTTTTTTTTTTCTATTAATTAATAAATACGTAATAATACATAAAATAAGAATGATACATTTGGAATGAAAGATAGAATTATAATAAAGGTTCTGTGTGAGCAGGCGTGGTGTATTTTTATGTTCAACGTTCTCTTCAGTATGTTGTAACAGGCCCGTTCATTCATCAGCTGCATCGGGCGGCCCATTCATTCATCATCAGCATCAGGCGGCCCATTCATTCATCAGCTGCATCAGGCGGCCCATTCATTCATCAGCATCAGGCGGCCCATTCATTCATCATCAGCATCAGGCGGCCATTCATTCATCAGCATCGGGCGGCACGTTCATTCATCATCAGCATCAGGCGGCCCCATTCATTCATCAGCTGCATCGGGCGGCCCATTCATTCATCAGCATCGGGGCGGCACGTTCATCAGCAGCAGGCGGCCCATTCATTCATCATCAGCTGCATCAGGCGGCGGCCCATTCATTCATCATCAGCATCAGGCGGCCCATTCATTCATCAGCTGCATCAGGCGGCCATTCATTCATCGGGCGGCACGTTCATTCATCATCAGCATCAGGCGGGCCATTCATTCATCAGCTGCATCAGGCGGCCCCATTCATTCATCAGCATCAGGCATCACCCGCCTATGTAATGATCAGATATCCCAGGTAATCGGGTGACATCACCACATCTCACATTCAGCATCAGGCGGCCCGTTCGTTCATCAGCAGCATTAGGCGGCCCATTCATTCATCAACAGCATCAGGCGGTCCATTCATTCATCAGCATCAGGCGGCCCATTCATTCATCAGCAGCATCAGGCAGCCCGTTCATTCATCAGCAGCATCAGGCGGCCCATTCATTCATCAGAAGCATCAGGCGGCCCATTCATTCATCAGAAGCATCAGGCGGCCCATTCATTCATCAGCATCAGACGGCCCATTCATTCATCAGCAGCATCAGACGGCCCATTCATCATCAGCTGCAGCGGGCGGCCCGTTCATTCATCATCATCGGGCGGCCCGTTCATTCGTCATCAGCATCGGGCGGCCCATTCATTCATCAGCAGCAGCGGGCAGCCCGTTCATTCATCATCAGCATCAGGCAGCCCATTCATTCATCAGCTGCATCAGGCGGCCCATTCATTCATCAGCATCAGGCGGCCCATTCATTCATCAGCAGCATCGGGCGACCGTTCATTCATCATCATCGGGCGGCCCATTCATTCATCATCAGCATCGGACGGCCCGTTCATTCATCAGCAGCATCGGGCGACCCGTTCATTCATCATCATCGGGCGGCCCATTCATTCATCATCAGCATCGGGCGGCCCGTTCATCAGCAGCATCGGGCGGCCCATTCATTCAGCAGCAGCATCAGGCGGCTCATTCATTCATCAGTAGCATCAGGCGGCCCATTCATTCATCATCAGCATCAGGTGGCCCATTTATTCATTAGCAGCATGTACCGAGCCCAGCAAGCTGAGCCAAGGAAGCATCACCCGCCTATGTAATGATCAGATATCCCAGGTAATCGGATGACATCACCACATCTCACATTCAGCATCAGGCGGCCCGTTCGTTCATCAGCAGCATTAGCGGCCCCATTCATTCATCAACAGCATCAGGCGGTCCATTCATTCATCAGCATCAGGCGGCCCATTCATCATCAGCAGCATCAGGCAGCCCGTTCATTCATCAGCAGCATCAGGCGGCCCATTCATTCATCAGCAGCATCAGCAACCCGTTCATTCATCAGCAGCATCAGGCGGCCCATTCATTCATCAGAAGCATCAGGCGGTCCATTCATTCATCAGCATCAGACGGCCCATTCATTCATCAGCAGCATCAGGCGGCCCGTTCATTCATCAGCAGCATCAGGCGGCCCATTCATTCATCAGAAGCATCAGGCGGCCCATTCATCATCAGCGTGTACGGAGCCCAGAGAGCTGAGCCAAGGAAGCATCGCCCGCCTGTGTAATGAGCAGATATCCCAGGTGATCTGATGACATCACCACATCTCACATTCAGTGGCGTTTCCCATTCCTCTGTAGGCCTTCTAAGGACAATAAGTTCTCGGCTTCACACTGTATGCACAGTTGGGGGCCCCTGCGGAGCCCCTGCGGAGCCAATAATGGCCGCCTGGGGACAGTTCAGTGATGCAAATTGCCGGGGAATTAGTGATTGCTTTGAAGCCGTAATCCTTTCTGGCATCTAATCCTCAGCTGGAGGACCACCGACCGGCCGCTGAGTCTCGAGGAAAACATTTTTTCCCTGGAATTCCTCTCGTTCAGTCACATGAAAGTAGTGTCCCCCACTTGATGATTTTCCCCCTCTGTTCCTGTTTTGGTGACAACTCAAAAATGTTGGATTTCCCCTCGCTACCTGTCTCAGAGAAGGTGGCCACAGGGACAAAAAAAAGAAAGGATGACCATCCCTCGAGGTCCATAGGTAGCCATAAGCAACCTGCCGGAGGGTCTAACCCTTCCATGCTCCGTCCAAAACTATACAAGAAAAAAATTGTCTTTGTATGTCCTTTGAGTGACAAGTGTTCTGTAGTCCTGCCCCTAGGGTGACAACGCTGCTCCTCCACTGGTACAATACAGTGGGTGTTGTCACCGCAATACGGGAAGTGTGGTACTGGCAGGATCACCAGGTGCAAATAAAAGGGAAAAATCCTAAAAAAAGAAAACAAATGCAGCTGCCAGATCTAAGGACTTTCTGATGGCCTACAGACCCCCCTCCCATGTCATTGAGAAGAAGGGTAAGTGTTCTGTAATCCTGCCCTAGGGTGACAAAACTGTTCCTCCACTGGTACAATACGGTCAGCGTTGTCACCCTAATACAGGAAGTGTGGTACTGGCAGGATCACCAGGTGCAAATAAAAGGGAAAAACCCTAACAAAATGGACTTTCTGTTGGCCTACTGAACCACCCCCCATGTCATTGAAAAGACAGGTAGGTGTTCTGTAGTCCTGCCCTAGGGTGACAACGCTGCTCCTCCACTGGTACAATACCAACGGTCAGTGTTGTCACCCTAATACAGGAAGCTTGGTACTGGCAGGATCACCAGGTGCAAATAAAAGGGAAAAAACTAAATAAACTCATGCAGCTGCCAGATCTAGGGACTCTCTGCCGGCCTACAGAACCCCCCCCCCATGTCATTGAGAAGATGCGTAAGTGTTCTGCAGTCCTGCCCTAGGGTGACAACGCTGCTCCTCCACAGAGAGTGTTGTCACCGTAATACAGGAAGTGTGGTACTGGCAGGATCACCAGATGCAAATAAAGGGTGAAAAAGACTAAA